AGCCGCGCTCGCTGACGTCCCCCCCAGGGTGAGCCACGCTCGCTGACGTACCCCCTCCCCCAGGGTGGGCCACGCTCGCTGACGTACCCCCACAGGGTGAGTTTTGTTGTTCTGTCTGCAGATGGGCTTCGATGGCTTTTTCTTTGGCCGCCTTGATTATCAGGACAAGCAAAACCGAGAAAGTGAGAGGGAAATGGAGCAAGTGTGGAGAGCCAGTGTGAACCTGCCAGAACCCAGCGCCAATCTGTTCACAGGTCGGTCACAGTGTTTACTGTTTGTTTCGTTCTTACCTTCAGCTTCAGAATCCCCTGTTTGTACAAAGTGCCAAATTAAAAGTGGTTTCTTACAACGATTTGTGCAGGAATGTCCTTGCACAGGACGAACCTGGTTATGGGAATGACCGTAAATGCAGCTCATTGTGAGTGGGCAAGTGATGGAGAAATACAGGTGTTTGGAATGTAAAGCTGTGGGTTTGCCAGGTCGGATCTGGGAATAGAAAGTAAAGGAACGTGGTGGTTGGATACCAGGGATTATCATGGTTATGCTGCTGGGTGAACAATCCAGAGAACTGGGATAACAATGTCAACTTGAGTTCAATTAATTAAATCAGTCTGGAATACAAGGGCTAGAATCATACAGTGACATAATAGTCATTAAAATCTTGTCTACGTCACTTAAAACAGAAGGGAATCTGCCGTCCTCACCTGGTCCTGATCTACATGTGACTCCAGGCCCACAGCAATGACTCTGAACTGCCCTGTAAAATGGCCAAGCTCACCCTGAGGGCATTTGGGGACGGGTAATAAATGCTGGCCTTGCCTGTGTCACTCTCGTCCTGTGAAAAAAATTAAAAAAAAAACAAAACGGGTGTTGGAATGTGGGGACGGAAGCAGATTAAGTCCAGGAGGATGATGATAGAGGAAGGTTACAATAAAATCCATCGTCTGTTCTGATTGAGGTTCCCAATAAAGAATGAGCTCTGCCTGATATGGGGAGAAAGGATAGAACTGAGCATTGTCTTTGTTAACATTGGCCCCTGCTCCACACTGATCCCTCGGCTTTTCTCCGGGGTCACGCTGTCTTATGCTAATGCTTCCCACGTCTTTCCCAGGTGTTCTTCCCAATGGATATAACCCTCCCAAAATGCTCTGCTGGGATGTGCTTTGCTCCGATGAGCCCATCAAAGACGACACAAATTTGGATGAATATAACGTGGACCAAATTGTTTATTATTTCAACCAGACTGCCCACAAGCAGGTGAGTGGTCCTGCCGCTATACACTGACCCGGGGGTTTGGAGACTCCAATGACAGCACCCATCCAGAAACACACCGATCCTTTCCCAAGTAGCTGGGAAAGCTCAGGCAGGGCTGGTGCTCCACATCGCTCAGTCGCCCATTGGGATGTGACGGCGAGAGTGGTGGCCATGTCGATGGGGATGTTATTCTGACATGAGCTGGTGGAGGAGTTACACTGTACCAGGCAGCGGCACTCAGTGAGATATGTCAGAGGGTGAAGAGCAAGTTTACAGCATTACGGAGAGTGAGAGACTTACTCCATGCAGAGGACAGAGTAGGATGCTAGGGTCTCAGAACGGTAGCAGCCTGATAGCGCAGTGCAGCCTTTTGAGTGGGAGTGTAGAAACACAAACCCCAAAGAGAAGTAAGAGAGGACAGAATCCATGGACGGCCAAGCAGGGAGTGAGAGTCTGTGGGAGAAACACAGTCCATGCACCTTGCTACAACAGCACAAGGTGAAGTCACCATGGAGCTCTCTCTGCAGTGGACACCAGCTGGAAAGTCATCCTGTGTGTTCAGGAGGGGATGAGCTCAGCAGCGATGCCTGCTATAGTCAATTGGCCCGGAGTGTGAGCACAAAGCCAGCTCCTCACCTGGAGATTTCCTGGGAGAGTGTTTGCCACCAATTTCCTGATGGACAACAGTGCCATAGTCTTCACTCGCTGTGTGCCCATTCCGTACAGTTCACCCCCAGGAGAAGGGCACAGTTAGCCCACCTTCCTAGACATCAGCTCTGCAACTGAATCATCCTTGTCTGTGTCTGTAAAGTCTTCACCCACATTCCCTAAGGTTGGGGGGGAGGGGCCGAGGTGGATATTGAATGAATGATCTGTCTCCAAGCAATGTTGCTCTGGGTACAGATGCTGAGAAAGGTTAACCATCCAGCAGTGGCGAAACTCTGGCTCCTGTTAGAGGGCGATAGATCAGGATTTAAATAACGCATCACAATTCATTTCACTAACACTCCATCTTGAACAAGGACACAGAGCTCCCAGTTGATTGTGCCCTGCTAGCACCAGCCTGCGATCCCACATTTTACGCAGTAGCTGATTGTGAAAGGGGCAGGGTTTTCCTGTAAAACCAAGTCAGTCAGACTTTAACAACACACATTGCTGCATGGTGTCTCCAGCATCTCCCTTAGCAACAGAGGCTGCATTACACCAGACATGACGCAGGGACCATTCTGCCCACTGAGCTCTTTGGGAGAACTATCTGATGGGATCCTCTCCCTGTTTCCCCCCTCTCCAAAGCCCAGCATTTTTTAAAAAAAATTTTGGGAATTTATCCAATTTCTTTTTGAGAGTGATTATTGAATCTGCTCCTTTTCAGATAGCATTTTCCAGCTAACAGCAAGTCCCTGCGTTAAACAAACCCTTCAATCTGTCTCCTCTGTACTGACCTCTCTGCTACTGTGAACATTTCTGCTCATTTCATCTTGTCATAACATAAAATGATTTTGTGTGATTAATGAATCTCTTCTTAACCCTCTCTGTTCTAAGGAGGACAGTCCCAGCTGGTCCATTATGTTTGTACTAATGATAGTCCCTTACTCCTGTTACCATTCTAGTAATTCTCCTATGAATCTCTGTGAACATCTTTCCCCAATGTCTACCCAACACTGGATGCAAGGCCAAGCCAGTGATCTGTAAAGATTTATTGTGCTTGTTGTTGTTAAATGCTGCATTATAAATTCTGGAGTGTTTAGGGCTGTTCTAATTTAATTAGATACTGTGTACGCACCGTTGTGAGTGAGTGCTTAACGAAGCCTGTATCTCCCTTTCTTTAAGGCAATGCATTACAGAGCCGAACACATCATCATGACCATGGGATCGGACTTCCACTTTCAGGATGCAAACATGTGGTACAAGAATCTAGACAAGCTCATCAAATATGTGAATGCTGCGGTAATGTTTCCCAAACTCGTGTCTGCTCGCTTTGTAGCAGCTGTGAATGATATTGCGGTTGTTACAGTCTGTCTGGAACACCCCTCCCAACATGCACACTCACTCTCGGACACGGACACACACACACACACGCACGCACTGACGGACACACGCACGCACTGACGGACGCACGCACGCACAGACGGACACGCACGCACGCACAGACGGACACGCACGCACAGACGGACACGCACGCACAGACGGACACGCACGCAC